ATAAAGTTCAGAAAATATTGTTGATGTATTTACTTTTGATACAGTTAATAACTGGTTTATGCAAGCAAGCATAACAGGTTTGCTAGAAAGTTCTGCCAATGGAAACCACTTTGGTGAGTCACTCAGAGGGTTAGGGCGTTGTAGAAATCTACCTTAGTTCTACAAGCAGTCTTTTTTTAATTTCCTCTCGAACCGAATCCTGTATGCTGTTGATTTCAGAGTCTGTGAATGTCTTGTCCATGGATCGGTAAGTTATTCTGTAGCAATGGCTCTCTCGTTTTGTCTCGGGATGGGAGAATTTATCAACAAGCTCTACCTGAAATAAATGCAAGAACGTCATTCATAGGGTCAAAAGATGACTTCTCCTCACCAAGTGCCACACATTGCTTATTGAATTTAACACTACGAGTTTGATGGTACATAAAGACAATTACTTAGATGATGGATTTGCATATTCTCATAACCAGTGCTAATGACAGTGTACTGATGATGTAAAGAGAATTTACATGTTAACAGTGACAACTAAAGGTGATCATCATCCAGTTTCTCCCAATAAAATCAAATATTATCAAAAACAAAGTCATTGGATGATAGAAACTGATCATCTTAAGTTAACTAATGAAAAGTCAAATTCTCTCTATGATTTCCATGTTACCACCAAATTTAGTACATTGTCTATTGCACAATGAGGCCACAGACTTTACTCATGGATACATGTATTTGGTACACATTTCAAAGGCTCAGGCATGTAAAATTTTCCTTTCTTCATTTTTTTTTTAGTTTTTCGTTTCTATCCAGTTCTACTATCAGTAATAAACTTAAGGTACATGTAAGAATGTCATCTCTTAAGGCTAGTTTTCACTAGCGCATAAGCATAAGCAGTGTAGGCAGGCGCAGCAGAATGCTGTTAAGTAGTGTCTTTTGGCAAAGGTACTAACAATATCAGTAACATCTTACTGTCCCTCAGTGGTTTGTCTGGTTTATGTAGGCTTATACTTAGCTTATGTGCTAGTGAAACCAGCCTGCAATTTTCAGGTTAGTTAAATCAGGTTCACGTTTGGAGCAAGTCAAAAGTGAAGTCGGCCATGCCTCGCTTTACTTGGCAACTCATTCTCACTGCCTTGGCACTCACATGCAAAGCTTTAACTGTGAACCTGCTCACAGACTATAACTCTACCTAGTCTTTCTTCTTTGTGGTATCTCTCACCTTTTCCACGATATCACCAGCCACCCCTCGTACAACATCAAATAGGTTGTTTGGAGAGAAGTTTTCAGGGAGCCAAAATGCAACATCCTTGTAGGTAGGTGGATATTTGCTAAATGGCTTGAACTGTATAATCTGGTTTCCCTCAAACTGTGCGAGAAACCTTGGATCTTCACTCCAGAAAAGTCGTATGTCAGGAATGTTGAAAAGCCTCATAGCCAAACGCTCGAGTCCAATACCAAATGCCCAGCCTATCTTTTGCCCAGCACCACCTAACAATGAAAAGAAAATTCACTTATCCCTCATAATAAATATTTTTGCATTTGCTGGGTGTAACGGTTTTGGATATTGTGGGATCTTTTTGCGTCAAAATTAAGTTTTGTGGGCACAACCCCAGTCAAATGTTAATTTCATACCCCCCTCTCCCCAGCTTATTTGTATCTGTGGTGTGTAAATGTTTGTTGTAGTGTACATTTGTCTCTTTGGTCATTTGTATTTGTTGCAACTTTTAATGAATTTTCTGAATAATTTCTAGCAGAACCCTCCCTTACAACCATCTCCTTACTCGTGTACAATTACCACTTTCTTTTAGCCTAAATTAAGGTCATTCCACTGAAATAGAACCTGCACTGAGATTTATGTGAAACTTTGCCTATTGATTGTTTACATTATAGGAACTTAAATTTTGAAATAAAAATGAGGGGTCCCCATGTTCGTTTAGGAGCAACAGCACCTTGTTTATGCCCATATAAATCATTATAATAGCACCATGATTGTAGTCACAATTGCTTGCTAAATTCACGATTTCCGACGATTGCTTTTTGTTCTACACTGAGAATTGGTCCATATTTCTTTTACACAGAGGAATTTATTACTCAATTCAAAACAACAGACAAAAATGATAGGTCACCATACTCATTTACGAAAAAATGACGATTTACCTCTATGGTGAGGTCCAGCTGTAAAGAAAAAGTTGCCTTTTTTAATGCGCACGTGCTAATCACGTGTGAAATTATGCACAGTAGGGATGCGCAATGCAACACTGGGGAATAACCTTAAATGAGAGCTAAGCTAGTTAAAACCCTTTTATACAACCACCAAGTTAATATGACCTGATTTTTATGCCCTATTGTGCTTGGATTAACAGAGGTCCATGCTCCCTTCTTAGATCTAAACAAAATTCATAGCTAAAGGCATGAGTCACCCATTATCAAGTTTCTTATATTGTAATCCATTTCCATCCTGGCCAGTGCCAACCATTCTTTCTTTCTAATGCTCCCCATTAGTCACCATTTGGTAGATATTCTATGACAAAATTAAGCTATTATTGTTGGTTTACTTACTTGTAATAATTAAGGCATTGTTTTCAATTGATTACTTTTGCTTAACTTACCATTGACCAATATATCATGTTCCATAACTCCACAGCCAACAAGCTCCAACCAATCACCTTCAANTAATATGACCTGATTTTTATGGCCCTATTGTGCTTGGATTAACAGAGGTCCATGCTCCCTTCTTAGATCTGAACAAAATTCATAGCTAAAGGCATGAGTCACCCACTATCAAGTTTTTTATATTGTAATCCATTTCCATCCTGGCCAGTGCCAACCATTCTCTCTTTCTAATGCTCCCCATTAGTCACTATTTGGTAGATATTCTCTGACAAAATTAAGCTATTATTGTTGGTTTACTTACTTGTAACAATTAAGGCATTGTTTTCAATTGATTACTTTTGCTTAACTTACCATTGACCAATATATCATGTTCCATAACTCCACAGCCAACAAGCTCCAACCAATCACCTTCAAATTTGACTTCCAATTCCCAGGAGGGGTGAGTGAAAGGAAAGTAGGCATCAACCCATCTCATCTCCACTCCCTCCCCACACAGGTGTTCGACCATCCGGACAAGCATTTGCTTGAGACTGAACTCAACCAGCTTCACTGCTTCCAGTGTGTGCACAGCTTGTTTTTCTGGAGTTTTATTTTTGCTGTGGTCAAAAATCTCCAGGGGATCCTTTTGCAAAAGTAAGGTAAATATAAAGATTTGAATTAATAATTCCTGTTGTTTAACATTTACAAACAATTTCTGGATATCCTAGTTGGGATGTAAATGGAACATGGCTTATCAGTACAAAAGATAGATCCCCAAACTGGAAACCCCTTTGGACTCCTTCTAAAGGAAGAACAGGGTCTGGTTTGGTGTCCACACTTTGTTCCCATAAACAAGTAGACAATAATGTTTGCAAAACCTCATAGCAGGTTGCTCAAAGCTTGTGACTACTTTTCAGGACTGTAGCCAGAAAAAAAAGTTATAACTGAGGTAATGTCCACGGTTAAATTCTCTTCCTAGTTACTAAGGGTATCAATTATGACTAAAACAAGAAAAATAAAACAAAATGACTGAGGCTGGTGTCTCAGTTTGCCTATTACTTGCTACAGGCCTGTTTGGTGGCATTTCCTTGCAACACAAAGTTGTAAACAAAAGATTTTTGCCATATTATAATAGGGAGTTAAGAGTGGTTTGAAACATGTCATTGTGGTCCACTCAAACAATGCATATTATATTCATTCAGTTGCAGATTATGGCACATATTTAATTGCAAGAGTGCTAGAGGAACATGGCAGCTTGGATACAAGAAAAAACCGGGGAAGGGAGCTGACAGGAAAAAATGCCTACCACCGATCAACATCCTCCAGGCCTGGGTTGTTCAAAAGGTGGATAAAGCTTTCAATCCGATGAATCACTATCCAGCAGATGGCGCAATTTGTTTTGTTAACAATTATCCACTGTATAGCAATTTATCCAGTGGATAGTGTTATCTAGCTATTGAACAACTGGGGCCTTATGCAGACTACATAGCTGTAGGCTATGACAAAAACTACTTATTACATGTAGCTGAGAGTGAGGTCTTCACTGGAAAATCTCAAACCGAGATCTTGCCATATTGACCAGCAAGGCTGAGATTTGAAATCTTCCTGTTAAGACTCAACATTCAAGCTTATTGTTTATTATATAGCTTTTTGCTTTATTTTTGCAGGCCACTAATCAGCTCATGGGCATAACGGGGAAAAAATACCCAAAAATTCGCGAATTCGAGCTTGTGTTGTATTGGCTACAAACACAAGCCATATAATAAAATAACTAATATTCACCTTGTATTGAGAAAATAACTCGTGCTGTGAAAACAGTCTGACCCCTTCCATCTGATGAAACACAGGATAATGACACATGTCAATTTCATCCCTTCTGTACACATCCCCCGTCACAAGAAATGCATCCAATCCTGTCTTAATCAAGTCCCTTTGATGCGCGGATGTGTGAGCTCGAAGCAAGTACTCAGAATTTATGTAGTAGTTATCATTCTTGGCGCGGCTAACATGATCTTTAGGGACAAGTAAACTATCAAAGTTCTGCTCCACAGTGACAACAGGAGATAGGTAATCTACCATTGTAAACATTGGACCACCCCAACGAGTTCTGTAGTCAGCATAAACGTGCTCTTGGATCTTTTCTCTTAAAATGCTCAGTGGGTGATTCTTGCAGAGGTGTAATTTTCGTCCGACTTTGGACAAAATGTTCGTAGTTACATTGGTCATGCCGTCACGAGAGTACACCTTGTCGAAGAGGTGAACGTGCTCGCTTTCCAGTTGTGTTTTGCTGTGCAAGCAAGCAGCAAACAACAATCGTAACTGCTTGTTAAGGAGGGCAGAAAAGGCTCGTGTTTTCAGAACGATGGACATCGTAGAATCTCCAAATTTTGAAGCGTTTTTTAGGCCACTTGCAGCATCATCCAGTTCTCACACTCTACTTCTGACACTAAACGAAGTCGTCTCTGATTATAACAGTTGCCGCTGACCAGTTCTGCGCGGGTGTACATGTACATTTTTCGGTGGGGGGAGGGCTAGGAGGGGAGTAAATTATGTGAAGTGCTGATCTTATTAAGAAAAACATGCTGAATACCAGTTTCCATCGTCCACTAAGAACGTGCTATTGAACGGTTCTGTTGGCAATTTCTGTTTGGCAATTTATTTATGTTTCACTCATCTTCACGTGCACCTGTCGTCACATGAACTTCTCTGATTGGTTAAAACCGACATGAGGAAGTTGATGCTTGATTGACGCGGAAAATTAAAATTTAATAAAGAAGTTTTCAGTTTGGTAGCTGGGTAAAGAGGTTTTCTTCACGTATATTCAGTTCTTAGGATAAGGGCTGCATGCTGTCATGTTTTATATTTTCATTTTGTCTGTTTTATTCGTTTCGTCGGATCTTATAACCGAGGCAACTTGTTCTGAAGGTAAGTGAACATTATTTACCTGCTTATAACTGTATTTTACTTATGTCATGTTTGTGCCTTTTTCTGCTTTTTAATAACGAAACGTCGTTGAGCACTGTTCTGAAAAATCACATTTTCATGGCAGAAGACGGAGAGGTGTTTACAATTTTGGCCATTCACCATGTTATACTCATAAAATGTATGATTTTTGGAATAAATGTTAAGTTAATTCTGCATTTTTCCGGCTTTACCGTTCTTTGCGGGACGTATTAAATATCTAAACGTTTTTGAAACACCCAGGAAAAACGAAATGTGCAGGTGAACACAGTACAAAGTCCGTCGTATAAACCACAGTCCAAAATGAGACTGAATAGTTAGATAAACATAACTGAAAACTGCAAACTGAACGATTGTATAGAATCATGTGCTGGTTCATTTATCGAATGATCCCAGTTTTTATAATAAAACTAAACAGAAGAATTGATGGGTGCTATGAAACTTGCTAAAACCTAGGTAATTGTTCGAGGGTTAATAACTGAAGCATTAGGGCTGATTTTCCAAAAAAAAAAAAAGAAATGGCTTGAATTTTGAAGAGAGTTTTGAGCCTTTTGGTTTAATAATAATAATAATGGTGATGGTTTTTGTCATTTAAGGCAGTTATACGCCAACATTAAAATCTTACTGAGTCGGTGACGGATGGAAAATACTGCCTTTAAACAACTTTTTTCACAACGTATATAAAAATTATGAATTAAAAATTAATGAATTTATAATCTCATGAATTTTCCAAGATCACATCATTATCCCTTAAACAAAGAAAATGATCATTGCTACTGATGCCAAAAAGCAAGCGCGACCACATGTAAAAAAGTGAAATTCGTCAACGGGTTTTCTGGCAATAAAGTGCTTGATCATTGTGAAGAAAATCACCAATAAGCGAGATTGGAACCATTATGCTTTTAACAGGTGGCTTAAAAATATTGACTTATGATCGAATGTCGTTTTTATGTTAGCCTAATAGCTCATTGTAGGTAAAAAAAGAAAAAAAAGCGGGGGGGGGGGGGCTTTGAACAATTGTTTTCAACTTTATGTTCTTTTGTCATTCTTTCTGTTTTTATCTGTTAGATTATGTTTCTGTCATCTTCTTATATCTTTGCTCTTCAATTCTGAGAACGAAATAAGATTTATTTTGCACTTTTATGATATGACATATGACTAATAATTAACACAAAATTTCATATTTGTTTAGAACTGAATCATATTGTTTTACCAAAGAAAGTGCCCATCAGCTAGTTTAAAATATGGACCCGCCAGTTTGCAAAACTTTATCTGACCAAAACACTTACATTCAGAAACGCAAGCCGTGCTCTTCGCATCAATTCGAACGAAACTTTTTAAGCGTTGCCTCATAAATAAATGTCCTTTGTAAATATTTGATGCCTTTCCCCAATTTTTACATAATATATTCATATGCAATCCAATGAGTTCATACAGTGCTTGGGTTATTTTCTACTTTATTGCGAGGGACGTTCTTTTGTTCGATGTCTGGGGTGCTGTTTGGCATGCATGGCTGCTTATGAAAAGCCTTCTAGTGAGACAGGCAGGTGTAAGCAGAGTTCCAGGAAAAACCATTTCTAACCCATGTTATTGAACAACTTGTGATAAATTTGCAGCACTCAACGTAAGTGCGCACACGTCTGACCTAACTTTGAAAGATATGTTGAACTACGACTTGCGACAGGATTTCAACAGCTTAACGATTTCCACTATTTCCTTGTCATAAAGCTACTAACAATCGCCTTCACCTGAATACTTTCGTTGTTTTGAGTGCAGTTTCTTGAAATTTGTTTTTCTCCCCAGGGTCAAACGTCTTATATCAAGAGAACATCTACTCTACCACACAAAGTGTTCGGCAACATGTATTCCTCAAAGAAGAGTTCCATTATTTAAATGTGCCAGGAATTGGATTACATATGGTTTACGACGTCTTTGATTGCACCTTTGAATGCCTCAGCAATCATTTGTGCCTTTCTGTAAACCTAGCTGCCTCCAAAGGGGCCGACGGAAGGCTGTGGTGCGAGTTATTGTCTTCTGATAAGTACAGAAACTTCACGCAGTTCAAGGAAAACAAGAGCACTCATCACTTTTTCATAAAGGTGCGGAGCATTTCAAACACAAAGCTTTTCAATTAAAATACGGTACAACTTGTGCCACAATATTTATTTTTGTATTGACGAGCTTTTCCTCTTTTTGCAGGGTCGTTGTTCTTCTTCGCCTTGTCAAAACGGAGGCACCTGCATGACAAAGTATAAAGATGACACGTTCGAATGTCTCTGTAAAGCAGGCTTCACAGGAAAATATTGCCACAAAAGGCGTAAGTGACACTTTCATGAGATTAACATGCAGTACCATGACACAACAGTACAAGGCAAAAGTCCAAGGCTTCTTTTTGAAAGTGTGTCGCTCACGCTACTTACACATAATATTGCAAACATTTATAAAGTGCCATCGATCACATTTCTTCTAATTTCAATGATAACGGATTTGCCACGTGTATAATTCCACCCAAGCGTGTGGTGGATTATGTCTTAAAAGAGCTACGTCACGGTTTGCCCATCTTGAAAAGTTTAGCCTAAATGTTTCAAGTTGGTCATTTCTAATCTGTGTCAATCTTCTCCATTCTTAGCTATCCTGGTTTTTTATGGTTTATTGTTATCTCTTTGGTGTTCTTGATTTAAAAGTAACTTTGTAAGTGGCTAAAATAACGCAAAATATCGTCACTGAGCTCCTTTAAGATCTTACGTCAGTAATGGGATCACAAGTAACACCACAGAAATTTAAGTTTGATTTCGCTTTCCTGTCTCTGCAAGTATACCTTTATTCTATACTCTTTCGAGCAGAGGATAAATAAATGGTAGGGTCTTTTTCTACTTGTATAAACATATAATTCTACCCGGATTCAATATATTTTTATATAACGTACTAATTGAGTCATCATGAGGTTCAGTAAATACGATAAGTTATTTTGCCATCTAAAGAGGTATAACGGCTGTTAATGGACATAATTTCATAATTCTTCTAGCTACGTCTTGCAAGGAAGCGTATGATTATGGCGCCCTGTACAAGTAAGTCATCTTATATACTTGACATCAATGATTTCTCTTCGAGATCTCACACCTAGATATGTTATTTACGCCATCAATTATCCAACCGATTGTTTCTAAAAACATCTCTTTTGACCATACCGTCATGGAGTTATTGTGGAAAAGAAAGAGTTCGCCAAAAATATGACAAGAACTTATATTGGAATTTTTCGTAAAACTAAAGCCTTTTCGGAACCGTGAGATCCAAAAGAACCTGCGTATTTACTCAGCATTTACACAGATGTGCATATTTATTTATCTCGTTCTCTCTTGTTTAATACTGAACAGGTCCAACGCCAGTCAGTTGGTTACCCTTAACCTTGACTCAAAACCAACTTCCATTCTCTGTCACATGGGGGATTTTGGATGTGGAGATAGGGGATGGACGCTGGTCATGAAGATTGACGGCAACAAGGTATGTCATTGGTCAACTGAATACCATTGCCATTTTCCAATTTGGAAGACATAGATTACTCCAGATTTCTGTTAAATTCAAGGACGCGCTGCTCTAGTTTTCAAAAACTTCATCTGTGGGTGGTTAAACCGATTTTTCCATTGATGAATTGTTATTGTTCCAGTTTATGATTTGCTAAGCTTCGAATCAATGCAATTGGCATTCGCTTCGATTTTTTTTCTCCCAGAACCAGTTGAGTGTAAAACAATATTTTTCTCACTATCTCGTAAAATATCATTAAAGAAACTGTTTACTTACTTACTTACTTACTTACGTAAGTAGTTTGTACGTGTACTTGACAGACACACCATGTTGTAAATAATGTCTGTATTTTGAAATAAAGCAGGTAAAAAAAAATTAAAGAAACTGTTGGGGGTTTCAGGTGTTCAAAAGTCAGTTAAAGTTGTTAAAGTCGGTGAACAGAAAATCTCTTTAAAAGGCTTCAATTTTATCCAATCTCAAAGGGCTTTATTTATGTATCTCCAGTATTTGCTATTTTGCCAAAGTTCCATACAATGACCTCTGTGCTTCACTTATAAATTTCCTCACTTGTGACTTGTGTTTCTTGTCCCCAAGAACTTATAACGCTTTTTGATACCACTGATGTTGGCTTTATAACCTCATTTCCAAACGTTTTTTTCCACACCTCTTATAAGTCCCCGCCGGATAAAAGGCCCCCATCCTTCCCGTTTATAAGCTCACCCAAAACCCCTTATAAATGGGAGAGTCCAACCAAAATAGTTTTCTGTTTACCTATAGATGGGTCTTTAACCGGAAGGTGGTATAAACAGAGATCTTCACGGTATTTGGTCAACCGTTTGTAGATTAATTCAATGCTCTGATGACATTTGCTTGTTCTCAAGGTCAACCGGCGTAAGCATATCTTGCATCATCAGTGATTTTTAAGATGAGTTTGAAAATATCTGGAAATAATTACACCTTGATTATTTTCCAGAACACCTTTGAGTATCCCTCTGGGTACTGGACTAACAAAAATGAATACAACCTTGCTGGAGGGGAGACTGGCTTTGATTCACAAGAGACCAAACTGCCGACCTACTGGAACACATCCTTCTCCAAGATCTGTCTCGGTATGAAGGTCGGCCAGCTAATCAAGTTTGCCGTCATCAACAAGACTGCTGACTCGCTCTACTCACTGATCGCTGACGGGCAATATCGCGCCACGTCATTGGGTCGTGACAAGTGGAAGACGCTGATTGGTTCTCAGGCCTACTTGCAGGATAACTGCAACTCGGAAGGGTTTAATGCTCCAACTTACAGTGGATCTCAACGCAAATCAAGAATAGGCATCCTTGGAAACAACGAATTTGATTGCCGTTCTTGCGATTCTTTGATCGGCTTTGGTAATTTTTTGGGTAACACATGTGGGGATGGCTCGGTCGTAAAAGCCTTTGGATATATCTTGGTCCAGTAAATGGAACCAAACATTAAGGGTGCACTGTCATGACCTCGAAATGTCAACAAGCCAAAAGCCTTATTGACATTAATTGTAGCCTAAGCAATAAAAGTTAAGCTTTGTAAAAGATTACAATAATAGTAATAATAATAATAATAATGATGATAATAATAATAATGATAATAATAACTTTATTTGTAACCATAGTAAACCTGTCGTGAAAACACGGCAAAAGTTTAAAAAAAAACTGTTGTTTTTACTATCACCGAGGTTTGCCAATTCTCTGAGATCGTAATTAGTACAAGTTAAGGACAAAACAGAAAACTTGAAACAGTGCGGAACAGTCTATCACATCATAGCTAATATAGGGGGCATTCATTGTGAACAATGTGACAGAATATGTTGGCGAAACTCCTTGTGATTAGAAACTAGAGTAAAAGAACATCTTTCGAGGAATTCGTCAGCCATTCATTAACATTCTAAGCTCACGGGACATTCAGTATAGATTCCAGCAACAAAAAAAGTTCTTGCCACAGAAAACAACACGTTCAAACTGAACGTTGCATATGGGAGGCAATTGAGCTCCGGTTACAAGGCCCTCTTTGAAAAAAGACAATCTGTGACACTATTTTAGCCCCCCTCTAATGAACTTGATATAACTCTTCTTCATATTCACATTTTTACTGTGGCTGAAATTCGATTGAGTCGACCGCAGCATTCCACGTTTTTAAAGAAAAATAATTATTGCGCTCTGACTACAAAAAATTATTTGATATTTTGACTTTAGTGTTGTAAAGCCTTTAGTCAATTCATTTTGAAATAGTGTTTAGCATAAACAGTCAAGTTGTAAATATTAATTCCCACAAGTTCATTAGCTGTATAACTTAATAACTATCCTTTCTAGATATAGTTTCACTGATTGATTGATTGATTGATTGATTAATTGGTTGGTTGATTGATTGATTGATTGATTGATTGACAGCACTGGTAAGCTGCAGGAACAGTATAAAAAAGATGCACAAGACTTTGTTAGGCCTCTTTGCCAGATTCATTACTTTGTCAGTGTAAGTGTGTTAAATGTGTGCTTCTTTACTATTCCAGTTTTCTCTGACCCTACTTATTTTGCCCCTGTTATTTTACCCTTCTTATTTTGCTTCTCTTATTACTGGGCTACGGCAAATATTTAATAAGAGAAACAAAGCGTCAAGAAAAACAATAATAAACTGGAAGCGCGCGCTTTCCTTCATAGTTAAAACAAGAAGACAGTCAAAACACAGTGTAAGAAGACAAGGGGCGTTTCCCATTCGACCAAAAATTCCGGTAAGAATTTCCGGAAATTTCCATGGGCGAATGGTACAGACTTTACCAGTGTGGAAAACGACAAGCCGCACAGTTTTGTTCGCTTGGAATTTTTCAATGACTTCGAGGTTAAAATCGCAAATATAGAAGCAAACAGAACACTAATATGTCGACATCATGACACACAACAGCAGGGACCTTATACAAACCACAACGGTTGTGAAAAAGTCGCAAAACAAAGGGTGTAATGAGTCGTATAATGGTTCTGCACGCGTTATAAATCTTTGTACATTTCCTAGCCAGCCTACGCAAGACAAACAAGTACACTAAGGGAGAATTATTTTTATAAAATGTTTTCTTCACGAATTTAGCTGCAGCTAGTATTTATCGACATATAAGTGGAATGATTCTAAAGTATTTCCACTTTCGAATACGCGTTGCTGTCATCCTTGCGTGAGATGTCCAACTCGTTGTGATCGCGGCCAAAAGAACTAGCGCTGAATAGAAAATCGAGAATTTGCATAATTTCCGAAAAAAAAAAGACAACCTCGTGAGTTTTACCCAAATTTTCGAACATATTTTCCTGGAAATTTCCCTTCCATTTGATTTTCATCCCGGAATTTCCAGAATTTTGGGTTGAATGATTCGCTTTTCGGAAATTCAACAATTTTCGGATTTTCTGGGACCTTTCCCGGGAAATTTCCGTACCATTTGCCCTCGTTTCGAAAATTTCGGAAATTTTGGTCGAATGGAAGGCGCCCAAGGTTACCTGAGAAAAACTATGCAAACTTCTTCTTGGAACGAGAGTAAAAGCCTCCAAATTAGCGGCGAATGAAATGATGACTTCTTTCTTTCGAATTATTCCAAAACAATTAAAAACCCAACATTTTTCTCTCAATGTCAGTTGCCTTTCGGGCACTACAAAGCACTAAGGCGTTCTTAAAAATATACAACGATTTTTTTCCGTCAAATGTATTATAAGAACATTAATAGCCAATATTTTTCTCGATAGAAATGTTATCTTTGAGCCGTGGTTTGCTTTGGGCGCAGACACCTGGGGCCCGTTTCTCGAAAGCCCCAGAAACTTTTCGGGACCGCAAAGCCATTTTCAGTTAATCTGTATCTAAAAACAGTGATGTGTATACGCTTGAAACTTCTTGTATGAAGAGAGCCTCTGTTCATATTACGAATACATGAATAAAACAGCGCTGTAATCAGAAGGTTTGAGATTTTGCTGCGGCTTTCCTGGTGCGAAAACTTTTCGGGACCTTCGAGAAACGGGCCCCTCGCACCCGGAAAGCCGTAGCAGTAGTATAGGACGCTCATATGAGCGGTAACCAATCAATCAAACCTTATCATTACAGAGCTGTTTTATTCACATACTCTTAATACGAACAGAGGTTTTTTTCATATAAGAAGTTTCAGGTGTAAACGCCTCTGTTTTTAGATAAAGATGAACTAAAAATGGCTTTACGGGCCGGGAAAGTTTCCGGGACTTTCGAGAAACGAGCCCTCTGGAATAACCCGTGCGCCGACGTTATTTGTTCTTCATCACACTATATATTAAGCAGACTGAAAAGCGAAAGTGAGATGTACGTATCTCAAACCAGTTTTGGTCACTCTATCACATATTTTGTTCTATCGCTTTCACTGCTACATGGCGAGTAGAAAACCAAACAAGTTGTGAATCTAGAACTGCCAAATGCAAATTTGTTTGTTACAGAGAAAAATCAAAAACGTTCTGCCGGAATGTGTCATGTCCAACTGACAGGACTGCGATTAATTTGAATTTTATTTAAAGCATATTTTCACGTCTAAATCAGCTTAAGAACTAGTTCCGGATGAATATATAAAGAAAACTTTCAATTCCAGACTTAAATTTGGAAAATAGTCTGGCCGCGCGTTGTGTTTTACGGAGAAGGGCTGCGAAATGTACAAGGATTTATAACGCACTCATAAAGCCATTGTTCTGCTCATCAAATCTTTTCACCCAGATTTATTCATTTAACTTACATTATATTTGTGCACAGCAAACACAGTCGAACCTCTATTAAGGCCCTGTCCACAGGTATCCGGATATTTTTCATCAGCAACTTTTTCTTTTCGGATACGGCTACCGTCCACATGCATCCGGCGAATTCGACAGCGAATTCGGATGTTTTCGAATCCGATAACGTAGCAAAATCGTGTCCAGTCTCTTACCGAACAATAAATCAATATGGCGGCACAACGTGTAGGCCTACTTTCTCACAGTGAATCCGGATACCATCGGATGCTCGTGGACAGGCGAATTCGATTTGAATACGCTACGTGTGGACGGGGAGATTTTTTAATCCGAAAAGAAGAAGTTGCGGATTCAAAAATATCCGGATACGTGTGGACGGGGTCTAAGTTGCCACTGGAGAGATTAGGGAGCTTAAGAAAACCACGACGGCAACGACAACGACAAAGTCGCTAAACAAAAGCTTTAATGAGGAGAACAATGGCTGTGCACGTGCGTTATAATTCTTGCTAGATTTCTTTGTCGTTCTCTGCAAAACAACAACGTGAAATTCTGCGTTGTCTGGAGGAGGTGAACCACGAGGGCTAATTTTTTAAATTTTTATTTCGAATTTATCGATGTGTCGAAGATTCAGTTTCGTGGTAGCTTTGACAGTGATAAACAAAGTAAACGACTTGAAGAACCGCGAGATTCGGAGATAAAATATCAAACCATTTTTTAATAGAAGTTGTCCTCGGCGTCGCCGTCGTGGTTTCTTAATTAAGCTCCCTAATAGAGAGTTTAAGCTTGCCGTTTACGGCAGACGGCAAACTGCAAAGATCACCTCTGATTTTTTTATTCTTTTCTTGTAATCCTTAAATAAATCACACAAAAATAGAAAAATGTCCTCTACTATTCACCGCAAATACAAATATTTTCACTTCATTGTACAGATAGTTGAAGACAGACGGCAAAAGTTTCATTTTTGCCGTTTGCCGTTTCATGCTCTTAAATAGAGATTTGCACGAAAACAACGTTGGTCGTGGTCCAGTTTTCAGTTTATCAAATGTAAGTACAAACAAATGCAAGCGTAGAAAAAGTAGAACAATGTTGGTTATAATACGGTCCATAACGTTAACAAAAGCCAAAGAAACAATTACGTTTCCACCTTGTCATTCTTTTATCTTCATCAGAGGGATTACATGAGATAGCATTGCGCCTGCGTGAGCTCAGTCTTGAAAGCATTAGCCATGTGCATCGTAGGAAGGAAGTAATAGGGTGGGTCCAAGGGAGGGCATGTAATCCCTCTGTGTATGGTGACAAAGGTGGAATCCCAGTCGAACTTCAACTTCCGGTAAGTCTCGTTTAACTTCTGTATTCCACCTTGTCACCCACAGAGGGATCACATGAGACTTCAAAGACAGATGCACAGGCTAGTAGTAAATAATTTCACACAAGTGAACATACTACTGCAAAACTTTATTGGCAAACGTGTCTTCCACGATCTTTTTGTTATAGAATTTAGCAAAGGTGGATTCTGACTTCCATCCAGCCTTGTCAAGAATATCTGCTAATGGAACATCACTCAGCTTTGCCTTAGAAGTTGAAGCTGA